GCAATATCAAATAATATATGTCACATTAACAACTTTTATACAAAATAAAATATTTTCATTTTTTAGATTGTGATTAATGTTTTCATAAACTATAATAAATTACATTAAATGTTTATTTATGCACCAATTATATAAAATATTAAATATTTCATAATATTTATACATGACATTGTGTGATTTATTTTTTAATTTTTAAAATTAAAGAATTTATAGATGATGTATTATATAAAGAATTGATAATTATTCTTGAAAGATGTGAAATTATTTAATTTAATTATTTATTATTTCACTTAGATGTTTTCTTTTGTGTTAACTAAAAAAAATGACCAAATAACATTTATTTTCTTCCATAAATTATAGGAAAGTTAAAAATTGTCTTGAAGTAAAATTATTATTTGATTTTTTATTAAATTTTTTTATAATTATAAAATATTATGTTGTAGATAATATATATGTCGTATATGTGTTCTTCACTTTCTTGCAATTTTCCTTAAGAACCATAAATATATATTAGGAGTGATGACAATTATGTGCAATCTTTTCAACTACAATGTGTAACCAATCAATAAAATTAATTAAAAGTATAATCATTAATATTAAAATGTTAATTAAAAATAATTAAAATACTAAATACAAACTAATTTAATAAAATATTACATAACAAAAATAAATAAATAAAACATTTAATTAAAATTTAAATTATAATAAAATTGTCCAACATTAACAACCCACAATCAATTTGTTTATTTTTATTTTTTAATAATCGTGCTTGCGTAATTTTAAGGTAGGTAGTAGCTAATTTGTTTTCTTACAAGTCATAATAAGGGTCTAAGGTCTACATATAAGTGTTCTAAATTGTTTTGCTATTTCAAAATTCTACTATTCGAAATGTTGTATTGTGTTCGCGCATTCAAAAATATAATTATGAAATAAAAATTTAGATTAAAATAAATTTTAATTTTTTAAGATGATTTTTTAAAAAATTTATCTTATCAAATCTTCTTGTAAGATGTAATAAAGCGAATATGATTTATTTCAGGAAAAAAAATGTGGATCTCGGTAAAGAAAATTCCACCTAAAATACTTCCGCAAGGTGCTTTATATCCTTAATCCTTTGTTTGGATTGAAAATAAAACATTAACAGAAGAAAGAAGAAATAAAAAATAAATAAAAATAAAAGAAAATTACAATATAAATGATATGTTGTTTAGATGGATAAAAATAAGAAAGAAAAGAGTGAAAAGTTTTCACTTTGCTTATTTGGATGAGTGGAACTAATAAAAATAAATAAATGAATAAATTAATTAATTAAGAACTGTATTTTAAAACACAAAATATTATATTATTATTTTAAAATGTATACAGAGTTAAATAATTATTAAGCAATAGCTAATGTAGAACATTTTGGAATTCCTATGAGTTTTAGTTATTTAAAAGTTTCTCTAAGTAGAGGTCATGTTTGACCTGTTACGGAAAGGTATATAAAGGTTTTTCTTTTGAGTTTCATAAGTTTATCATTTATAAAACTTGGAGAGATAGTTTAGAGAGAAATGCTTAGGAGTCTATGAGAGTTCATTTTCTTCTACTAACCTCTAAGAGTTTTGTAGGATCCTTCCCTCGAGAGTTGTCATAGCTGACTAATGATTCAAGATTGTTGGAGCTAAGAATCGGAGTAGATGCAGTGTTGTGTAGAGTTTTTCCAGAAAACTTCGTTTTAATTCCTTCTCCCTTTTTTTTCTTCGATTCAAAGTTAAGGGAAACTAGAATTGTAATCTCAAATGAATTGATTGAGTTGTATGTTGGTTGATTTCCACAAATTGTGATTGTGTTGGTTGATTCTTTTATATTTGAATGTCGAGGTTGGGGTTTTATTGCTTATGAAGCATGTTGAGGTGAAATTTGATTATTTGATCCATTTATGGATTGCATGTTGAAGATTGTGATATATTTAAGTTGGGTATGATGTATGGTTGTATTTTATTTTGTTGGATGCCTAGATTTCCTAAGTTACAAGTTTGGAAAGCCAAAAATTGGGCCTCTACTAAGTGCAGTATTCATCATCCTGTTGGGCACAACTTTAAGGTGTCAAGCATGATGCAAGCCAAATACTCTTTGCCTCACTAATGCTGAGCACGAGATTGGTAGCGTTAGGTGTGAATTAGATGAGAGCTCTCTAACCTGGTTACCTCGGGCGTGGGTTGAATGGCACCAGATGTGGATGCTTGGGGGACTCTCTAACTTGGTGACACTGGACCCCAATTGAGTGGCTTTGGGCATGATCAAGACATAAGCTATCTGCTTAGACAACATTTAGACAACATCGAGCGCCAGTGTAGTGATGCTAGATGTGACTTAAGTAGAGGCTCTTTGTCTGAAATGAGGTCAGGCATGGCCATGCCTTCATGATTACCATAGGAGCTCTCTGTTTCATTCATGTCGAGTGCGACTAGATTGGCACCAAGCATAGGCAAGCTAAAGGCTCTCTGCTTGAATGACATTGGACGCATGTACATCAATGTCAAGTGTAGGTGAGTTAGAGGTTCTTTGCCTCAATGACGTCGAGCACAGAGAGAATGTCATCAGGCATGGGTTGCTTAATTAATATGTGCTTAATTATTGACTGTGTTAAACATGTATATGTTGTTGAACCTCTACCATGTTGTATGTTGTTGTATGATTTTAGTTCTTTATACATTGATCTAGAATAATGTATATCGATGACTCAACCGTTGAAAAGTTGTAAGTTAAGTTGTTGGTTGAAATGTTGATGCGATTGTGTTAAGAATGCTTGAGTCATTAAGTTATGTTGTGTCGTGTTGATTAAGTTAAAACTAGAGGAGAAGTTATTTTAAAAGTTGAATATTTAAATGTGAATATATTGTGTTGTGGTGATCTATGAGCCTAGTTGTTGAAAACCCTTATTAAAAAATTGACTCTTGAAGTAAAATGTTAAGTCTCCTCCAAGACCTCAGTTGATGTAATATACGGGCCAGGTCGAACCATATTATTTATAAGCGATCACAATATAAGGGTCAGGTTATACTAATTATAAAGCAAACAAATGTTGATTTGAATGAGGGTCAATTTGAGCCATATGTGTATAAAATGACCAAATCAAGTAAGGTACAAAGTTGATGGCCAAAATATCTAACTAAGTATTGGAAGAAATGTAGTATTTGGAAGGTAGTTAATGGACTAATCCCATAAGATGCTTAATTATGCATACTAAGGTTGTGATAGACTCACACTCAAGTTGTTATGCCCTAACAAAAACACTATACTTTCATAGTTTAAGTGGTGATATCTGAGAAACCATATTGTTGTGAATTTTTATCCAAATTAGTTGTTGATTTAGTTGGTGTAAAAAGATTGAGTTATTAGTTGGTTCAACAAGGTCAAACCTCTTAAATTATTCATTTGTGTTGTAAGAAATCTCTTAATTGAATGGGTGATAACGCGTGTAGTTGTTATATTGTTCATATGTGATTAAATTGTTGAGTTGTGTGGTGCATATGTTATGTTGTTGTGTGGATAAGTTGTAGTTTTGTTGATTGTATTATGTTGTTCATATTCTACGAAGACAAGTTGATGGTCATATGATTGGTATTGTACATTGAAATTATGTTGTGTTGAATAATTGAATTGCAAGTGGGGTATTGTTGGTGTATGTTGAGTTGTTTGAGTTGCAATATAATTAGATAACTCTTTTATACTTGATTATTTTTGAATACTAGGTTACCTTCACATTTTTTTTTGTGGTTGGGCTATGATGATTATATTTATATATCAGTAAAGTATAGTTAGGTTGGAGGTGAAGTCTATTTTGTAAGCCATGTTAGAGGATGACAACGTTGATCTTTTGAGTTATCATGATATAACTAGTTAGTTGTTGGTAGTGTTACTTAACCACTCATTTAAGGTTACACTTTAATTATTATTTTTCGATTACTATAGATATATGTGTACATGATACGATATAATTTCATTGAAAACCATTTTATGATTTTAGTTTATTTTTATTCTTATACATACATTATTACTTGCATATTCAAAAACTATTTGTATGTTAACCTTAGATAATTGTGTGTATAATTTTTACTACAAATAATTAAATCTTAAAATGTAATAACTTGTTTCAATTTATTATCTACTATTCTCATTGTCTCATATTTTAACATGCATAAAATGCGCTCTTAAATCTTTTTCTAATTCTTCGCCTAAAAAGAACAAAATTCTTAATCACATTGTACATGTAGTGCTTATTATTAATTTCAACCTGTTTGCTTCTTATACTTTTGGCTTAATTAATTTAAGCAAAATACAATTTAACATTGTCAATAATATTTTAAAAAGATATTCAAATAGTTATGACAAATAAAAAAAAACACAAATTAAATTGTAATAAAGCGAAAGCAGTCTCTAGCAATATAACTTTTGCCTAAAATCCTACTATACTTTACATACTTTGGTACATACGATGACAAATAAAGGCATTTAGCAACCCACAATTAATTTGTTTATTTTTCAATAATAAACACTTCACGTTAATTATCAATTATTTATTAATAAATTAACAATGGCATTTATCAACCTACAATCAATTTGTTTATTTTTTAACAATTAACTCGTTACATCAATTATTAATTAATAAACTAATAACGAAACAATTAACTATTAACTAAAGGTAATAAAAGTAAGCGAAAATTTAAAAGTTAGAGTGTTAGACAGTTAAATTTACAACAAAAATTAGGTGAAAAATTCGCAAAAATCATAATTAATCCAATTTTGTTCATGCATACAACACTCTGTAACTGTAACTGTAAGAGAGTGGTAGTGGTGCACTTTTTAATATGGGTATAGCATTCATGCTGTGTTACATTGGAGAAAAGTTGCCATTTCCCATTTGCTGAAAAAAGAAAAAAAAAAATCTGCAATGACCCATGCACCCCTAATCTTATGACGTGTCACTCGGTGGCTGGCTGAAAACCGAGAGAAAAATCTGGCTCTAGCCATCGTGCGCCTTGTCCCTGCCTCGCAAAAATGGGGATAATTCGTAAAATATTCCCTAATCTCTAATACGTTATGAGAAGCTGAACCATTCCCTGCACAATCTCCTTCGAAAGCTTCTCATCAATGGCCAAGACACTGATTTCGTCTCCATCGTTCATCGGCACGCCGCTTCCCTCGCTCCCTCGCCACCGCTTCCCCCACCGCACAAGGCTAGTCGCTACAAAAGTCCACGTCAGCCTCCACCAATTTCCCCCGATTCAATCCATAAGCCACTCCATTGACTTCGCCGGAATCGTCACCAGAGCCGAAGGCCTTCTTTACACGCTCGCCGACGCCGCTGTTGCCGCGGACCCCGCGGCTTCCACCACCACTGCCACCACCGATGCTGCCGTGCAGAAGAACGGAGGCTGGTTCGGCTTCATCTCCGAAGGCATGGAGTTCGTTCTCAAGGTAAACTTCGTGCTCGTGCTTGTTACTTGTTTGTTGTTAATAACTTCCTTTGTAAGTGTGAGCTAGTTGTGTGTGCGATGCGTCACGTGCGGAGCACGAGCTTCGAATTTCATCGAGCTTGTTTTCTCGAGATCGTTTAGCTTGCTTAGATGTTCTTAAGATACTCTTCGTCGTCGAGTTCTTGCTCAGAATAGAGAATCGTTGATTTTGAACGAAGTTTACTATCGAATGATACTATGCTAGTATTGTTGAATTCTTGGCAACTTTTGTTCCTGATATGATATTTTGCGGGGGAGGTGTTCAGTGTTTACTTTTCAGCTTTTAATTCGATTAATAAAAGGTTTCCTGCTGTTATCTATGTTTTGTTATATGGAAAGCTACATTTGGAATCGGAAAACAGAAGTGCCATTTGTTTACAATGGTTTTCTAATTTCTACGAAATAGTTCACGAATTATACAATGTTAGGCCTGTCCATTTGTTTTACAGTTAATATGCAATTTATATATTTATATATAATAAAAAAAGAAGAATACAAACAACCTAACTAATAGGAAGCACACTTAGTCATTTTTTTATACTAATTTTGGAGGATTTAACATACTGTTTAATACGAAATGTTTGCTTGTTGTTATTCAGGTACTTGTGTTTTTTATATTAAGTTACGGTTATTGTTTTGTTTTCAGGTTTTGAAGGATACACTTTCTGCCGTGCATGTGCCTTATTCATATGGATTTGCTATCATATTGCTCACTGTTATAGTTAAGGCAGCAACGCTTCCCTTGACAAAGCAGCAGGTTAGTGCATATAGCAATTTCTAGGCCAAATAAGGTTATAACAAATTTGCTAATTTACTGAAACCTTTAAATTGTGTATTTATGTAACTCACTTGTTTGAATCAGTTTTTTTTCCCTAC